TTATGAAGAAGGTGGTGACTGTTGTTGTTGTTATTACTGTCGCCACGGAAGCTCTCCTCAAAATGGTGGTCAACAGCAGCCTTTCTGCAGTCCACAACCCCAGCCGCATCATCTTTACTGGACATTAAATGGTCCTCGTCCCTCATCATCATCTTCAGGCGGTGAGATCTCTCTACCTCCTCCAGATCATCGTAGTAGTCACTGCTGCTGTCATGCTGCTGCAGCTTTCCCAGCATGCCCATTCTCTCCAGTGCTGCTGTTCCTTCTCCTCTGCTTCCGTTGAGCAGTAGACTGAGTGGCTCAACCACCGGTTGACCACTTGGCTGCAGTGTCACCTGCAGGTCACTGGATAGTTTGCTGGTTTGCATATTTGCTGGCGGTGATGATGATGATGACTGGTGGTGGCGCTGGTGATGGGCAATGGCTGCAGCAGCTCCATTGCTGCTGTTGGCTCGTTCCGCCTCCAGACAAGCCCTCTTCTTGAGGAGCTGGTGGTGGTGGTGCTGTTGCGAGCACTCCGCCGTACTGCTGCTCCCTCCGCCATTGGAGATCAACATCAGCTGGCGCTTCTTCTGCAGCAGCTTCCGCTTCAACTCCTGCTTGTTCTCCGCAGCGTTGGCCAGGTTCATCTTCAGGTTGATCGGCGACAGCTGCTGGTAGACGGTGGTGAACTCACCCGTTGAGCCGTTTACGATTATGGTCGGTGTGCCACTGCCACTGTGGGCGGAAGGGATCGAGTCCAGGGAGTCGGCAGAGTGGAAGGAGGAGGGCGAGGTGGGCACTGAACCGGGGGCGGTGGTGTTGTTCTCCTCCTGATGATGGTGGTGGTGCTGCTTGCTGAGCTTGCTGCTGCTCTTCTTCAGCAGACTGGCAGACTGTGCGGCCAGCCAGGCAAAGGGGCGTACCGGCAACTCTTCTGGTCGCTTTTCGCCGCAGTACGCGGTAATGGAGACCTCCTCGTCGGTGCCCTCAGCGGCGCTCATTTTGAAGGTTTGGCCACTATGGCCGTCTGCGCCGCTGTTGCTGCTGTTCATCAGACTGTTCATGTCAAAGTCCTTGGCGCCTTCAATCTGCAGAAATCTGGCAGCTTTGACAATCTCGTCCAGCTTCATGTCACTTGACACTACTAGTTCGCCTGTTTGTGTAGAGGATGAGGAGAAAAAGAAAGAGAAAGAAAATATTAGTTTTTGAGTGACGATTAATTAAAATTAATTGTTTTTCTAGTAGTATTTAATTGGTGGGCAATTAACGAGTGGGTAAGCATTGAGGGAAAGAAAGGGAGAAAAAAAATATTTTAAGAAGCATATTGCGAAGGAGAGCAACAAAGGCACTGAACTTGGACAGTTGAATAACAACGACAACACAGGTACATTTAATTTAAAAATAAACAGCAACAAAACATAAATGTTTTATGATTCATGAAATGACATTCTTTACATTTTAACAGGAACTGAAATTCTATTGAGCGATTCGGAAGAAATCAGCAAATTAGACAACAGCACATACAGTCCATCCACCCATACAAAGTTGTAATTACAGAAAATTGCCATTTAAAATTATTTTTCTTTTTTATGGTCGATTTAAAGTTTACAACCGCGCTTTCTGTTCTTGCGAGAATGAAGCTGAAAATGAATTATCTCATCGTTCTCGATTTTTGTGTGTGCACGCACGTCAGTAGCTGGTAAATTAAAATGAAACACTTTTTGTTATTTTGTAGCAACCTCTTATTTATTGCATGAACAAGTGTGTGTGTGT